ATCTTGCATCGGTATACCGTGTTCGATATACCAGAACTCCAACGAGTACTCCAACCGCAGCTCCAACAAAATCTCCAACCAGTGCTCCTACCAGCGCTCCCACCAGATCTCCCACAAGATCTCCCACCATACATCCGACCAGAACTCCAACGACTGCAGCTCCAACGAAATCACCCTTACGTATTAGTGGTCAACAAAACCTAAATCTAATTAGTGGGCAAACGGGCAGTTCCGTGTTGGCTGGATACTATATATCAGATGGCTACACCACTGTTGAAGTAGAGACATGGGATGGGTCTTGGATCAATCAAATTGTGTTGCCAAACGGTGTCCCTGATGGTTCGAAGTTAAAAATTATATGCCGTTCCKCTTGGTCAGTGGATATTATATACCCTGATGGTGGATGGACGAGCAATGTTAAAAWATATGAATATCCGCTCTTTGAGGTGAATTACGGTGTCTGGAACAAAGTTGAGTGATCGTCGAAGTGGAAGATTTTTTCTGGTGATGCTAAAATGGAATGCCAGTCAACGGGTGCATGTCACGGTGCAAACCCTTCTTAGTCATCGAAGCGGATTTCGAAGTGCCTCCCTATCTGARTCTCCCTGTCTTCGTACAGCAAATCAAAGTTGTCGAGCATACGTGTTAGATGTCATTCTAGCATGCACGACCAATGCAAGTTGATTTTGAAAAACGTATGCGTCTTTCAACTCACAYTCTTCGGCGCTATCGGATTTCCAGACAAATGATTGCATTTTAGCCTGCGTGAGGAGCCTAGCATGGAGCCTACATTGGAGCCTAGCATGGAGCCTAGCATTGAACCTAGCATGGAACCTAGCATCGGACCTAGCATCGAACCTAGCATCAAGCCTAGCATTGAGCCTAGCATTGAGCCTAGCATGGAAATTAGCATCAAGCCAAGCATGGAGCCTAGCATCGGGCCTAGCATGGAACCTAGCATCAGGCCTAGCATCAAGCCTAGCATCGAGCCTAGCATCAAGCCTAGCACCAAGCCCAGCATTGAGCCTAGCACGGAGCCTAGCATCGAGCCTAGCTCAGAGCCAAGTTCAATTTCAGTCCGCATGGCTGCTGATCCTCTGGGTGTTTCTTTGAGAAATAGCAATGCTCCAGGCGTCCAGCCTAGCTTAAGTTTTTCACCAACCTCATTGCCTAGGTGCAGTGATTTGCAGGCAAACCCTTGCATTGATCCTTCTGAAGAGTGTCCTCTGCGTCCAAATGATATTTCCTATCTTGCTATTTGTGAAGGAATGTATCCTGATTGGGATTTTAATCGATGCGATACTACACAAGCAACACCTTGCATTGATCCAAGTGATGAATGTAACAGTGATCTGAATCCAGATTATGAGTCTCTGAAGGTCTGCACAGACCTTTCCCATATGCTCCCTTCGTGTGACCCTTTGCAGTGGAACCCATGCATTGATGTTTCAGATTTTGGATGGTGTCCTTTTGGGACTGAGAACAGAGACATTTTGCCGATATGTTCATGAGCGGAACCTACATCTGGTTTGAATCGGTGTCATGTTGACCAGGCGTATCCTTGCATTGATCCAGGGGCAGAGTGTAGTTCTGATCTGAACCCTGACTTTGAAATGCGGAAGGTTTGCAATGACAAGGCAACTGAGTTGAATCGTTGTGATGTATTGCAGTGGTATCCCTGTCTTGATATGACAAATGAGTGTACTGCTGCTTTGAATCCTTGGTATGAGAGTTTTTATGTCTCTGTGATGATTTGTCATCACAATTGCCCAGGTGTGATCCTTTGCAGTGGAACGCTTGCATTGATCCTTCTGAAGAGTGTCCTCTGCCTCCAAATGATATTTCCTATCTTGGTATTTGTGAAGAAATGTATTATGATTGGAATATTAATCGATGCAATTCTACACAAGAAGCACCATGCATTGATCCAAGTGATGAATGTAACAGTGATCTGAATCCAGATTACGAGTCTCTGAAGGTATGCACAGACCTTTCCCATATGCTCCCTTCGTGTAACCCTTTGCAGTGGAACCCATGCATTGATATTTCGGCTATCTATGGTGATAGTGCATGGTGTCCTTTTGGGACTGAGAACAGAGACATTTTGCCGAGATGTTCATGGATGGAACCTGTGTCTGGTTTGAATCGGTGTGATGATGAGCAGGAGTATCCTTGCATTGATCCAGGGGCAGAGTGTAGTTTTGATCTGAACCTTGGCTTTGAAATGCTGAAGGTTTGTAATGACAAGGCAACTGAGTTGAATCGTTGTGACGCATTGCAGTTGTTTCCCTGTCTCGACGTTTCGGTAGATTTAACTTCGCCCTCGAGGCTGCCTTGCCCAGACTGGACAGAGCATCGATCGGCCCTTGATATTTGTTCAGGGATGGAGCCCAACTCTGGCATCAATCGATGTCATATGGACCAGCAGTATCCTTGCATTGATGCAATGTTTGATTGTACTTTTGATCTTAACCCCTTCTTTGAGGCCTTGAAAGTTTGTGAAGATTTGGCTATGGAATTGAACCGTTGTGATCCTCTGCAGTGGGTTCCTTGTATCGATCCATCGGACGAGTGTCCTTTTGGCCCAGAGTATCAAGCGGGGCTTCCGATCTGTGACCTGCCGGTTCAATATGGATGCACCAGTTCTGATTGGGGCACAAGACTCACGGCGCCGTGGGACTATAAAGAAGTAATATCCACTGACAATCCCCTATTGTGTGAAGACATTTGCAGGAACCGCGGATATGCATTCTTCGGTTTTGAGTGTCCGCATGGTACCTTCAGCAGCCAAGTTCACTGTGAATGCAACCATGCAAGAGAGGACGGGCTTGGCCCTACAGACMMAAGATGGAACCYAAGTACGGACAGCGAGGGTGAMAYAAAGGATTGCAACTTATTATCCTGGTCTTATTCCAATGGCAGACMSAGTGGTTGYWWKAGYGGAGACGATGGCATTGTTGATGGCATCTCGATGGGGGGCCCACATCTTGCATCGGTATACCGTGTTCGATATAACTAGAATAGTTTTTTGGTCACTGTTTTGCCTGCGCAGTTGTCGGCGGCATATTGTTCCGCTGGCGCAGCGAACGCAATATTGGAATCGGTTCTTTTGCCGGCAGCTTGTGCATGGCGGACCCATGGCTTGCGGCAGCCGGTCGTGTTCGATACTATAGTACTAGAGCAGAATCCTAAATTGTTATAAAATGCCCCACATTTATTCTGCGCAGATTTAAAAAATTGCCGACTCGGTTTTCCGAGACCGAGGACCGGAGTCTCGGACGGAACGCAACGGAAGGCCAGGGCATCCTCTCGCCACGAAAACCGCTTTCCCCGATCGACTCGATCCCTCGGCGCCGTTCTCGCCGTTGACGGTTCCCGGGCGATTCCGAGTTTTCCCCCGCGTGTGTGTGTGTTCTCGTCGCGAATCCCGAATCTGTTCTCCCGCGGCGCGGCGCGGCTACCAGCCGGCGCCCTYTGGKGAAGGGTTTGTCGCGTTGGGTGCCCTGTCTTCCGCTCCGACACCTTCCCCGTGTGTGGTTTTGATAGCGGTGGCGACGGCTGTTCTCGTCGCAGTCGTGGTWGCGGCTCCCACCCGCCTCCCGCTCTCGAACTCCGAGGGCGTCCACCCAATTTGCTCCAGGGCCGAGGAATGATCCCCGTCCGATACCTGGTGGATCTCCCGGTACTTGGCCAGAAGCTGCTTGTTGGTGGAATGACTCGTTGTCGTGTGTTCGCAATCCCGGTCCTCCCTCGGTCTTCTCCATTGCGGCGGCAGCAGCACGAGCAGCGGGTTGCGCCGCCGCTGCTGGTGCTGCCGCTCGTCCCCCTCCAGCGTGTTCCGGAGTATGGCCCTGTACCGGGCCAGGGATTGCTCCCGTCGCTTGAGGGTCCAGACCTCGGGGTCTTTTATGTGTCCGCTGGCCAGCAGGACCCGCTGGGACTTGAGCTTGGAGACAATGTCCCACGAGAGGACGGCACGGAGGGCCCGCTCGATCGATTTGTGTTGCTCCAGCAGGTCCATCAGCTCGGTCCGGTCCCACGCCACCAGCTGCACGGGTTGTGGGCGTTGGTCTTGCCGTTGTTGTTGCTGCTGCTGCTGCTGCTGTTGCTGCTGCTGCCCAAGTGGTTGTCGGCTAGCGTCGGCTTTGTCCTCGTKTTCTCCCGGAAGGATTTCTTCCAGCGCGGTGACGCTGCAGCAGGAGACGACCCCCCCCCGGAGGCCCAGGCCCGCGTGGAGGCCCATCTCCGAGAGGAACTGCCCCTCGTGCAAAAAGTAGGTGACCTGCCCGTCCCGATCGACGGCCAGCGTCCCCGAGACGACCAGCCGCACGAAGCGGTTGTCCTCGTCCTGGCCGAGGATCCGCTCTCCCGGCCGGTAGGTCTCGGGGGTTCCCGCCCGGACGAGCCGGGCAAAGTCCGTCTTTTCCAGCTGGAGGGAGTAGTGGTGGTCGTAGAGATCCTGCAGGGCCTCGCCGAGCTGGCTGGCCCGGTAGTGGTCCAGGGCCACGAGGGCCACCCTCCAGGAGTTGAGGGCCACAAAGACGAGGTTCCATCGAAAGGGAAGCCACAGGACCCGGCCGTGGGGGTGAAAATAGGTAAAGACCAGCATGGCGGAGGACCCGGCGATGGCGATCAGCCGCAGCTGCAGAAAGTCGTCCATGGCGTAGGAGACTGCCACCAGGAGAAAGCTGGCGTGGCCAAAGAACTCGCTGAACCGGATTTCGATCCTCCGGGGGGAGATCCAGCGGGCCAGGGGCAGCTGGCGGGGGGCATTCAGCCAGGCGTTGACCTTGTCAAAGGTCGGTTGCCGGGGGACCACCCAGTTTCTCAGGCCCGCCAGCGTGGCCGTTCTGCGCGATTGCGATTGCGTCTGCGATTGCGTCTGCGATTGCGTCCGCAGCTGCGTCTTCCGCTGCGTCCTCCGAACGGGGGGGGACCTCCCGGGCCGCCCGGTCTTTCCCAGGGGGCGCCAGAGGCCGCTTTGGGGAGCCCCCTCTCTCGCTCCGGGCGTGTGGCCCGAGCGGTGGAACCACCGGTGGCTTTTCCACGCCCCCGGGCCGGAGGGGCCCGAGGGAGCAAAACGGGCGAGCCGTTTCGAAGCCACCGCGAGGAACCGCGGGCTTCTCGCGGAGGAGATCATTCCGTGCGCTGCCGCGTTGGCCTTTGTTGTATTGAATTGTGTTGTGTTGTGTTGTGTTGCGTTGTGTCGCGTTGCGTTGTGTCGGATTGCGTTGTGTCGGATTGCTGTGCTTGCTCGGGACGAGACGCGACGGCGACAAAGACGATGCTTAGAACCACGGGACAAGCCTTCTTTTCATGTTCGGCCCAACTGCTCCGTCCGTTGTCTCGTGTCGCACTGTGTTGTGTTGTGTCGCACTGTGTTGTGTTGTGTTGTGTTCTTCGATTCGATTGTTTTGATCGGAGTCGAACTGCACTCTGTGTCCTATTGGCTTCGATTCGATTCTATCCGATTCGATTCTATCCGATTCGATTCTATCCGATTTGATTCTATCCGATTCGATGATGCAATACGATTCGGCTCTGTTTGTGTATGCGTGTGTGATGTATCCGCCCTATCCAACTCCAACCAAGCGTGGATTGTACCGTTCTTCGGGTACGAGACAAACAATGATGACCMCGATTGCCGTCAATGGAATTCGTCTGAGAAACGAATTGTGGTAATTTTTGGATTCGAGGAAGAAAAAGAAGAAAGAACGAAAGGAAAGGAAAGGAAACGGTTCGGAAGGTAATACGATGGGAGGCACGAGTATCGTATGTACTAGTGGTAGCACGTAACGTACGTACTGCTACGAGTCGGAACTTCTTGTACCAATATAGTAATAGTAGTACGGTAGGGTTCTTTTTCTCGTACCGTACGGTAAATCTTCCCCCCACGTTACATACTCCAACTAACCCGTAGGGCGCCCTACGGTACGTATGTTGTAGGTTCCGTTGGCACTTAAGTATTCTACGGTGCGTTAAAGTACCGTTGGCGAGTTCTTCTCGTCTTCTGAGTTCCGATCTGATGGCAGATGGCAMCTTTTTTTACTTTTGCTATTCCCATCGGGGTACTTTTGGTACATACCACTACAGGCAGTAGACCTAGTATGCGCTACCGAGTTGCATGAGTACAGGGAACACACCAAGGGGGGCATGTGATGCTAAATACAACTCCCATTTTTGACTAAGTTATGACCCTCACAGTGATTTTGGTTCCTACTATACTGGTACTACTATTAGTACTGCTGCTTCATAGYAGTATGCTGTTAGACAACATTATTTGTTGCAAAACATCATAGTACTACTACTAGTAGACAATGAGCTTCATAGCAAGATAGTACACTACTGATACTGCAACTACTGCTGCAACAATCCTGTCTACWACTACTAGTACTAGTATTGGTGAGTGCCATGCCAGATGTATTTATGTGAAGCTAAAATAAATGTGGAAATAATTTTTGACAATGATATGGCCCTCATATTGTTTTTAGTCCCTTGTCAGCATATACTGATATTTTGTCTGTGTTGGGTCCAGTAATGCAACGAGTACCGTAGGAACAGTACGGAGGATCACTCGTGGATCCAATCATGAGTCCCCGGGACCCAAAACTATATAAATATATCGACCGAAAAACTATATAGTACTACTAGTAGTAGTACTATATCGTCAAAGCATCGACATACTAATATATACAGATCAGTATATAACTGTATATATACTTCCTCTCTACTAGTAATTCTCAGAACAAGAATTAGAATTCAGAACAGAACTAATCGATTGGGAGTTCTGTTCTAAAGTCACTCAGTACAAGCAGTACCAAGTCCTACATCATCCGAGAACTGAGGAAAGTAGCACACACTTGACTTGTACTGCTTGGATGTATATTTCTACTATCGATTCTAACTCAATGAATCCAGTATAACACGAGAAAGCACGTGAGGAGCTGGATTCATCGAGTGATACTTTATTMATTAGTTTTAGTCTCACAATCCTAATTAGAGCAATCTAATAAATACTACTAAAAGAACACTACTACTACAAAGTACACGTTATTTCGTGCACAGTACTAATTACTAAATCGCGTTATCACGTGAAGTATACACATCATCGAAAATGAAGCCAAGCCATTTCTCCTGTCTCTCCTTGAAGAACCCCTT